AAATATTTAAATATTTAACTTAACGCTATGGTGAAAAATGGTTTAATGCAAGAGTAAAGCGATGATTATCATTTTTTTTAAAAAAAAGCATATGTGAGTTGCATATTTGAAATTAAATTGAGAACTGCTTTACGAAAAACGTATTGTTTGCTCGGTACCAGAAAAAAAGTTTCTTTTTGTTGACCTGTGATATTTAACATATAAAAAAGCTGTTAAAATTCACCATAAAACGGTTTTCCTCACAAAATGTAATAACCCTAATTTGTTGTTGTTAATTTGTTGTTAGTACCGGTTGTTAGTACCGGTTGTCAACCAAGTAAACTAAATATATTTAGAAAGGTCAAAGAAAAGCATAAAAATAAATATTTTTTTAATATTAAATATTTCGGCAAAAATTATGGAAGGCATTGTATTACGTGCTATCTGACTATAACTTAATTCCTAAGTATTATTTTTTTTTGCATTTTCTTAATTGCTACTTAGCAACTTATTATTGCTACTTAGCAACTTTTTGAGGTTTTAAATCAGTTTAAAAGCAATCTTGAAACTTTAAAACTTTAAAACTTTAAAAGCAATTAAGGTTATTAATGTCTTAAAAACGAAAAAAAAAAAAAAAAAAGTAACAGCAACAAACTTTTAAAGCAATTAAAGAAGCAACAAACTTTAAAAGCATTTAAGGTTATTAATAATGTTTAAAAGATAAAAAAAAAAAAAAAAAAAAAGGATAAAAAATAAAGCAACAGCTGAAAATGTTATCAGCATGAATTAATTAACTATGAAGTAAGTAAATTCAAATTTAAACTTGCAAAAACTTAATGATTATTTACAAACTTATCATTTCGTAAATTTTTTTTTATGGAAAACAACAAGTTTAAAATGTGTTAAAATAAATTGTAAATTCGGCGTTGTAATGTAAAAGATAGATTAATATTTATTAAAATAATCAGATACTTATAAAAACAAAAAATAGCGTTAAATATAACTTTTCGTAAGCAATAACTTTGCAAATAATATGTGAGTATATTTAAAAAATCTGCAATCAACAGCGAACAGTATCCGATTATCTAAATTTTGAAGAATTAAATTTTTTTTAATATAAGAGCTTAGTCACTAAATTAGTGCTTTTTGTATTAAATTTAACATTGACAGTAGTATCTAATATATACAATATTGAACCATTCTTCTTAATTAACTTAATCAAATATGTTTTACAAGAATTAGGAGTATCCTTTATTCAGGGCCGGCACTGCCTTTATTAAAAAACTCAATTTCAAAAAGTTTATATAAGTAGAAAAGGATTAGATGCTTTTTGCAATAATGCATGCTGCATTTTTAAAACATTGCATGTTGCATTTTTTAAAAATTGCATGCTGATATTCAAGATATTCAAAACAAAAAGAAAAGCAGGAATAAAAAAAAGGAAAAAAAGAGCAAGAGAAAATGCATCAAAAAAATGTCGAAGGCTTTTCTTTGAGATTCAGACTTAAATGAGTAGTTATTTTTTTTAAAGCACCAATGTAAAATTTTATTGCCGTTAAAGTAATATTTTCCAGGGTTAGTATTAGGGTTTACCACATTTTTGTGTATAGAAAATCCAGAGGTTTTTTCAAACTAATCATGAAATCCAACAAACATAGTAAGAACTTTTAACGACATTACATTGAAAATAAGCTACTACATAATAATAAGCAAAAGATAGTAAATGAGGTTTTCAATTTTAAAACGACGCAAACCAGAAATCACACTAATTTAGGGAGTACATGGGAATGCTGGCAGTTACGGATCCAAGGATTTTTGGAGGAGGGGAGGAAGTTAAAATACTTTTGTATATTGTACCATACTTGCATCTAATTAAAAAAAAGGTTCTGAATTTCTAAGGTATTTTAGGACTTTCAGATTTTGGTTGGGGGGTTGCATACTTTTGGTTGGGGGGATCCATCACTATACGCTGGAAACACAGAAAACATTGACTTATTTAGAGAGAAAATACAAAAGAGCGCATCTGCATTGCCTGACGTTTTGAGTTTGGGTAAATATTAACCAGTCGATATCGTTGAACTCCATATTCGCAGTTGCCAGTAAAATATCTGGTCTGCGTTTTTTTTTGAAAACTTTAAGTCTCATTTTAAGCCATACTAATTTCTGCTTACAATAGGTCGTGTAAAAAAATAATATGTTTTCTACAATATATGTCATATGTAACAAATCAGCTGAGAAAAATTGAGGAAAGCGATGAACGATAATAACTCAAAATAAATTAGTTATATTATTAATGATCTTAAGGAAATAAACTCCAAGAAAAATTTTGGAGATATCATAGAAAAAACTGTTCATGAAAGTAGCAATAGAGTATTTTTTTTTTTTTAGGTGCCTTAAAAAGATTTAACGGTCTTGTCACAAAGCACCGTGGAAGTGCATTTAACCAGGAAGTTCACGCCTCCTTCCTTACCGCGACAAGAAAATATGTCCCAGGCTTTTAAGGGAAGTCAAGATAAAAATCAGGTTTAAGAAAATTAAAAAATTGAGTTAATTATTGTTTTAATTTTTAAGTGTTGGCTCTCCAGGTTTAAACGAAGGGCAAATTCTGGTAATTTCTTGGTAACAACATTCAGCTATAATTGAAGTTTATTTGAGATTATCAAACTTGAAACACTTGACCTATGACTTAGCAAACTAGATTATTAAACTTGAAACCCTAACCTCTGCTGAATACTTCAAATATTTGAATTAATTAGCTAATTAAAATTTAATTGAAATAAAATTTTACAAGTCAAAAAAATATTTATATAAAAATAGTTCTTTGTCAATGACGCATTTTTAATCTTAATTAGTCTGGATTTTAAGCATAACTTTGCATTGTGATTTTAATGTAAACTCATTCTTTAGTGTAAAGGCTTTTTATGAATTAAAATTTAAAATATTTTAGTTTTTGCTTTTTATGGTTTGATTTATAATGTCGATATTTTCCATCGTAGATATCAATGTTAAACCATCGTAGATTTTTTTTTTTGTTGCTGCATTACTTAGTAGTTTTTTGTATTTATCTTATACATATATATTATCTTATACATACATACATATATATATATATATATATATATATATATATATATATATATATATATATATATATATATATATATATATATATATATTATATATATATATATATATATATATATATATATATATATATATATATATATATATTTTCACACTCTATACTCTTTAAGAGCTTTTACACGTATAAACTTACAACACCATTAAGTACTGTGGTTTATTTGCGGAAAGTTTTTATTTATAACTTTGGTTAGTAGATAAATTTAGTGATACATGACAAATTATTGCTTTAAACACGTCAGCTCTAAACGTCAAAAGAGTTTTAAGTGTTTTGATAAAATATTGTTACATTCAAATATAGTATATATATTAAACAGTAATTTAGTATACTTTATATTTAGTTATATAAAAATTATTTTGAAATTACATTATACAGAATAAAAGTTATAAAAGATTAGTGTGATATATCGTTTTAGACATAGACATATTTGATATAATTCATAGATATAATTGTCTTAATCTAATAGATGTAATAGATACCATACTTATCTTATATATTTTACTTCCGTTTATTTATAAAAGTTAAAGTTTTATTTATTCATAGAAATTTGTAAACAAATTCAAACAAAACTGTAACATAAATTACGTAGCTAAGTTTATCAAAATAAACTTCGTTTAAAATGGTCAAAAAAAGAAAGTAAAAAAGAAAAGCAGAAAGATATATGGGTAGTTAAACACGTCTTGATGAATTGAAATACAATCATTAAATGCATTAAAATTCATTTCTTTTCTTATATTCGAGCTCTTCATTTGTTCATTTAAAAGTTTTTTTTCAAAAAATATTTTAGAAATCAGGCAATGGGGTGGTTGTATAAAAAACGATGGAAAGCGGAAGAATTTCGTGGAATAGATCGCATTAGCCAAAATGACGTTCTATTGCGTTTAATTTTATCGCTGGTATTTCTAATTTCTTAAACAATTTCAAATTTCTTCAAAACTAAAATAATGGCAATAACTATTGAGAACTTGCAATTATTAGCTAACTTCTTTTTATTTAAATAATGATGATACTTTAGGTGCTTTAATATAATACAAATTTAAGATGTTATTTTGACATAGTTCAATTTACAAGTCTAATACCTTAATGTTCTTGTTCTTTGTATTAATTTTTAGAAGGCTTAGATGGTAATTAAAAAAGTAATCATTGTGGATCAAAGACGCATATGCATGCATTATTGACATGCTTAACTTTTAGGGTTGGGGTTCAGAATTACAAGAATGAATTAGTTATTTAAATATGATACTTTTTAATAAACTAAATTTATATATGCCAATAACCAGAACTATAGTGTATACGACGACAATTAGAGCTATACTTGTAAAGTAGCAAACTTTTTATTTTTAGCAACTTCGTGAAAAACACTCATGAAAGCGCTGACAAAGCTAAACCATAAACCCAGTACTCTAATAAAATAATTAACAAAAAACAGCATACAAAAATAATTAACAAAAAACAGCATACAAATGTTTATTAAAATAAGAATATTCTAAAATTGCATTATTTTTAATACGGCAAAAAGTAATAGAATATTTTTGTTGACAAACATTTAGGCTACGTAATTGAGATTTAAATCGGCGTCAAATTTAGACGACATTGTTATAAAAATTATTGTTTTTATTTGATCTTTTGTGTTTACTTTTTTGGTATGTTTATTTTGTACGCAGCATATTTTTAGTTTAAACTGCTACCTTTTAAAATAAATTTGTGTTTGAACATTTATATGTTAAATTCAAATAATAACATAGAAAGTATTTCAAAGCTTTTTGAAGTGATAAAGATAACAAAAACAACGATCAATACACTTCCTTTGCCATTACGTATATTTAAATATATGTATATAAAATATAATATGTCGATAAACGTGGACTAAAAATTTTAC